CTGCTGCTCGGGGCTGAGCTCTGCCCCTACCGCGGCCTCTAGCACGGCCTCGGCCTCACCCTCTTCCTCTCCTGGGAGCTGCTGCTGGGGGCTCGGGCTGCTGGTCAGCGGATGAGGAAGTGCGCGTTCTCGGCATCTGCGAGAGAATAGAACAGAAATTCAATCAGCATTGAGAAACCAAACCGCACGACAGGAAGAAAGATGTGAAATTTTCCTAACTCTATAGCCTCTAGGGGATAAATACAGACGTCTCCGTACCGATCCCTCAGACTCTACTAAGCTTGTCTGTGAACTGTGAGACCCATGTAACCTAGAGCTCTGATACCAACTTGTCACGATCCAGATTTTCCACCCTCGGGAGTCGTGATGGCGCCTACTAATGTGAGCTAGGCAAGCCAATTCTTTCAAACTAATTACTTCATTATCCATTTATTCCTTTTTATCAAACACAAAGTGATAACGTATAAACAACGGAAAGTTAAATTAAGCGGAAGAAAATAATGAAATATCTGGAATCTATGTCTATTACAAATATTCAAGCCTTAACCACCCAAAACCTGGTGTCACAGTGTCACAGACAGTCTAAGATTCACTACACACAAAGTCTGAAGAAATAACAGTACACTGTTTCTGAAATAAGGAAAATGAAACAGGGAATAGAAGATAAAGGAGACGCCAGGGCCTCCGGACGCCTGCAGGTCTACCTTGGATCTCCATGTGGACTGAAAGTAACCTCCAAACTACGGTCCGAAGTCAACAGCACTGGGATCTGCACAAAAGAGTGCAGAGTGTAGCATCAGCACAACCGACCCCATGTGCTGGTAAGTGTCTAGCCTAACCTCGGCGAAGTAGTGACGAGGCAAGGACCAGACTACCACATAACCTGTGCAGTTCAAATATATACAGCAAAAAAGAAATACAGAAGTAAACAAGTAAAGATGGGAGGGGGAAACATGCTTCGGGGAATAACAGGTAAAAACAGAATATTAAGAGAATTATAAAGGGATCAAAGTCCAACCACTAACAAGAATAAGGAAACAAAAGCAGATTTCACTTTTTTTCACATCTTGTTGCAGGCGTGCAACCCGATCCCATTTCCTGTATCTTGTGGCAGGCGTGCCACCCGCTCCCATTTTATTTATCTTGTGGTAGGCGTACCACCCGCTCCCATTTCATTATATCTTGNACTTACTACGGTACGTTTTTTACGGTTTAAAGTAACTTCCTTACGTAGTAGTACACTTAGACCACTACTTCACTCATACTTCCTACGATCTTGAACCTTCAGCAATTCTGAGAGATAAGCTTCTCTCCTTCTTGGGTGTATCCGTCTTCATGGTTTGCCTTCTCATTTCATAAGGGAACATTAATATTTCAACAACATCCCGGCAAAGGAACAATGATATTTCAACAATATCTCGTCAAGGGAACAATAACATCAAAACAAACATCCCGGCAAGGGAACAATGATGATAATAACATGTGAGGCACAATAAACCACAACGGAGTCACAACAATTACAATACAAGACTCACGGGCATGCTTGACACCAACGTATAGATACTCGTCACCATTTCTATACGTCGTACTCCACAATTAACACGTAGCAAATAGACACAACTCCTAATCCCTCAAGCTAAGGTTAGACCAAACACTTACCTCGACGCCACGAACACAATTCACGCTTCAGCTATAGCTTTACCCCTCGATTCCACCACCAATTCGTTCGTATCTAGTCACAAGTTACTTAATTACATTAATAAACGCTAAATGAATCAATTCGAATACATAAAAATGAATTTTCCAAAGTTTTACCCAAAAAGTCAAAAATCGCCCCCGGGCCCACATGGTCAAAACCCGAGGTTCGAACCAAAACCCGATCACCCATTCTCCCACGAACTAAAATATATAATTTGTTTTGAAATCGGACCTCAAATCGATGTCCAAATCCCCAATTTTTGAAAAACCTAGGTTCCACCCAAAACACCCAATTTCCCCATGAAAATGATTGTTTTGAAGTTGAAATCATGTTAAAAGATGTTAAGAATTGAAGAAAGTTAGTTAAAAACGACTTACAATTGATTTGGAAAAGAAGAAATCCTTGAAAATCACCTAAGTGTGTTTATGTTTTGAGAGAATGTGAAAAATGGGTTTAAAATCGTCTAAGTATAAAAGTTGCAGGTCTCTGATATGGGAATTGCGAACCCCGACAGGGGTCCCGACCTCTGCTGGCTTGGGAATTGCGAAGGCAGGCATCGCATTTGCGAGCCCTTCAGGAAAATAGGACCTTCGCATTTGCGAATAACTTGTCACATTTGCGACTTGGGAATTGCGACAACTTTATCGCATTTGCGACTCAAGGCTGGAACAGGGATTTTCGCATTTGCGAAAGAAATCTCGCATTTGCGAGACTGAGCTGGCCTGGCTTCCTTCGCATTTGCGATCAGCCACTCGCATTTGCGATATCGCATTTGCGATGCGAAGCCTGCAGGCCTGCTATGCACAGCTGAAATCTATAATTTTTAAGTTCAAAATGCACCCCGTGGCCTATCCAAAACTCACCCGAGCCCTCGGGGTTCCAAGCCAAATATGCACACAACCTTAAAAACATCCTACAGACTTATCCGTGCACTCAAATCACCAAAGTAACATCATGAACATCGAATTAAACCTCAAGATCAATGAAATTTCTCAAAACTTCTTAAACATCAAATTTGCATTTAAGGTCCGAATCACGTCAAACGGATTCCGTTTCTCACCAAACTTCACAGAATTATCTTAAATCATATATAAGACCTGTACCGGGCATCAGAACTAAAATACGGGCCCGATACCAACATGTTCTAATCAAAATTCATTTCCAAACCTTATAAAATTACCAGAAAATAATTTTCTTAAAAAATTCATTTCTCGGGCTTGAGACCTCGGAATTCGATTCCGGCCATACGCCCAAGTCCCATATTTTCCTACGGACCCTCCGGGACCATCAAATCACGGGTCCGGGTCTGTTTTCCCAAAACATTGACCGAAGTCAAATTAATTCATTTTATAGTCAAAATTTATCATTTTTCACAGATTTTCACATATAGGCTTTCCGACTACGCGCCCGGACTGCGCACGAAAATCGAGGTGATGCTAAAAGAGGTTTTTTAAGGCCTCGAAACGCAGAATTCAATTTAAAAATAAGTGATGACCTTTTGGGTCATCCAATATATATATATATATTATATATATATATATATAATATTATATATATAATATATATATATATATATTTATGATAGATAGATAGAGATAGATAGATAGATAATTAGGAAGAACAATTAATTATATACAGTTAAGAAGACAGAAGGAATTAAAGGTTCAATGAATTGGTTACATTGAAATAGCAAAGAAATGGATAGAATTAGGAGATGGTTGTGTTATGGATAGAAAAAGCTAGAGCTTGATAAAAAATTAAGGAGCAGCTAAATTAGATCTACTAATCATGCAGATACTTGAAGTATTAGTCTTAACATTTAAATTAAAATATATCAGTCTTTGAGTTATATTACATAATTGATAATGCAATTAGATAAGCAGGGAACTAATATATATATATATAATACTATATTATATTATATATATATAGATAGATAGATAAATAGAGAAGTAAAATAATTATATACAGTTAAGAAAGACGAAGGAATTAAAGGTTCAATGAATTGGTACATTGAAATAGCAAAGAAATGGATAGAAAATCAGAGGAGATGGTTGTGTTAATGGGATAGAAAAAGCTAGAGCTTGAAATAAAATTGAAGGAGCAGTTGAATTAGATCTACTAATCATGCAGATACTTGAAGTATTAGTCCTTAAAATTTAGAATAAAATATATGATTCTTTGAGTTATATTAAATAATTGATAATGCAATTAGATAAGCAAGGACGAAATATATATATATTTGTGGGAAAATATAAAAATATAACACATATATTAGAATTATGATGAGAAAAGTGGTATATATACACATAACTAAAATCATAATAAACAAATAGTTAAAGGAAGAACAATAAATAAATCAAGCGAAAGCGTAAATTGTATATACTAATTAAATCTTTCATTTAGGAAATTTAGTTAATAAATAGAACTCATAATTTCATAATAAAAAATATAAAGAAACTATTATGATATTATATATAAGATAAGCATATTACATATCTAACACAAACTAGTAATTATTAAAATATTGGTAGTTTTTTTTTAAAAAAAAATAGTAAAATGCAAATATCTTTATAATTTTGATGAATTCAAAATTATAATTTAGTAAAAAAAAATATTACATTATTTAATTTTAAGTAAACTACAAAATGATAAAACACATCAGATATTACAGTAGAAAAGAATGTATGAAAATACGGGAATAAAGAACATTTTATGATATTTTGAATTGATTAAAAAATAAAGGATAAATAAATAACATTTAAAAAATTTATCAATAAATTTAGATAATTGAAGAATTTTGTACAGTATAACATTAAGTTAAAAAAAATAATTTTATTTCAAGAGTGAGAAAATATATATCTATGTTATATTAAAAGAGAAGTAGTATCAAAATATTAAGCCAATTGACAAGTTAATAAAAAGTCACATTAGTAAATATATAGTATTAACTACTTGCTAATTTGATAATAAGAATAAATAAGGAACAAACAATTTATTTTTGTTACTATATGATGTGTATCCTTTGAGTTTGTATAGATTTTGTTATATTTCTGCACACTATATTAAATAATAAAATATAACAAATATTTGTTAAAATAATATGATTATATGATGTATTAAATTACAATTTTATAAAATTAATATCTAACACTTGTTGGTAAAAAAGAAGAATACTATTACCAAAGACCAAACAACTACCAAAAGCCGTTGAAAAGAAAGCGAAATCCGTCTGCTGTCCCCACAAGTCGGGCCAAAGGTGGTGGGTTCTTATAACTGTTGCTTAACTCCACCGCACCCCTCCCTTTACTTCCTCTCCTCTCAACCTTACGTTTTTACAGCAAACTACCTTACTTCTAGTATTACTTAAATATACTTGTCCCTTTCCTTTTAACCTCTTTCTATACTCTCCCTTCTGAGCTTTAAGTAGCTCAGATATTTATTTTCTCTCTCACTCTTCTGTATTCGTAGTCTATTTTTCCCAATAATTTAGCACCCAGTAATATGGGTTCGGAGGGCGAGAATTCTGTGCAGCTGAATAGTACTGGTGCCACCGACGGTATGTTTGATGGTGATATTCGGCGAACGACGTCGTCTTCGGCAGTTCAACAAACCCTTTTTCTCATTCATTCCGATGACCTCACTTTGAAAGTCCAGGCGGCTAAGGAGATCCGCCGTCTAACCAAGACTTCTCAACGTTACCGCCGACATTTCTCTAACGCCGTTAAACCCCTCGTCGATATGCTCCGTTCTGAATCTTTTGAGTCAAACGAAGCTGCTCTTCTTGCCCTCCTTAATCTAGCTGTTAAAGACGAAGGGTACGTTTAATTTTTGTGTTTGGATTTGATTATTGCTAAATTCCGATTTCAATTCAATATTGGTTTGTGAATTTTCGTGCTGGTTTTGATTGAAATTATTATTTGGAATTTTCAGTTTTCCATCACTTTCTTACTTTTCGTTTCTACTTGTACATCTTTTTCCTCGGAATCAGTGTATTAGTGAGGGAAGTTGATACCTTTCTTCTTGTATATGCCTTTTTCATCTTTATTTTTCTTTATGTTTACTGTTGTCTTTTCCCTGCTTTATTTGGTTGCTGGGAAAAGTAAGTGACAGCAGAAAGATGGTCTTAATTTTTTATTTCAAGTTGTGGAAATATGTGACCTTGAAATTGGTGGGTATTGTAATTTAAAGAATTCAACTTTTAGTGGTAAAGATTGATACTTTAATTTCTAAATGCTAGTTTTCTTGTGGTGTTTCCTTCAGATTATCTTTTTCTTCTTTTTGGAATAAGCGATCAAACTGAACTTGTGATTCAGTTTAATTCTGGGTCCAATTCTTGAAGCATCAAAAGGTACTAGGATAAGAATTGGCCTCCATTTGCTTGGATAAATTGAAGAGAGTAACTGCAGTAGTTTCAGACTTTTGGTTAGTTCACTAAGATTATAATACTCTTATTGCCTCTATTTGAAGATATATTAATGTTAATACTTAAAAGTTAGAGGCATAATTACTCAAAATGCTTTAGATATATTAATGTTAATACTTAAAAGTTAGAGGCATAATTACTCAAAATGCTTTTCGATCGCATCCCTTGGCATCGGATGCTTTAAGTCAGATTGCTTAGATTTGAAGGTGGGGCTGTTCTTTTATCCACATGCTTTCTTTTATTTTCTTCTTTTTAATTCTTTGACCCATCTGCTTGTCTCCCTTTTGCCTTTCTTTTATCTTGTTTGTGAAGCTATCACATGGATTGGATTCCTTGCTCTGATAAAGAAATTCTGCTCTTAATTTTTATATTCTATTTGTACTATGGTTGCTGATATTTTAATAGCAATAATGTATTTATAAGAATATAGATTTGCAGATCACTCAAAGGAATTGCTTTTTTTAAATAATTCTGTATGGGGAATATCAAGATTTCATTTTAAAGTCAAACGACCCTTATGTGATTAGTGCTTTGGTATACTGTAAACTACGTTAAGAGTATGGTGTTGCTCTGCACTTTTTAATGCTTCTAATCTTATCTGTTCATTGTTCCAAAGTGCTAAATGATTTAGATCCAATTGTACGTTGATCGATACTGTTGTTATTTGGCCATGAGGATAATTTTGTATATTCGACAATGAAATGGAGTAAGAACTTGTGTACAGGGGCGGATTTAGGGGGGCGCAAGGGGGTTCACCCGAACCCCCTTCGCCGAAAAATTACACTGTATATATAAGACAAAATCTGGTTTTTATCTGTATATATTAAGTTTTGAACACCCTTGACACAACCCTAAAGTGTAGTTTAGTGGTCAAGGGGGTTCAAAACCTTCATAAGGTCACAGGTTCAATTCCCACTAGCCACAAAAAAAATTTTTGAACCCCCTTCGTGGAGATCCTGGCTCCGCCACTGCTTGTGTACTTCCAAGTAAATGCAGATAGCTCTTTCTAATATTTTGGCTCAAATACATTTATTGTATCATTTCAATCAGGAATAAGAAAAAACTACATTTTTATTTTAAAGAAGAAGTCAATTCTAGAGAAACCACGAACCTAATGAAAGGAGAGGCAGATTTGTTGCCTTGGATATATATGACTTCTTGGTTTTCATCAGATAGGGAAGTATATTTACTCTCTCTGTGTTCTAAGCTAACAAAACATTGAAAACTGAATTCTGCCAACTTAAACTAGTATTGTAGTTTTCAAATATTAAGCATTGGAGCTTCAAACTTTGTTATTTGACTATTTTATTTCATTTTGACCTCCAGAAACAAGATAAGTATCATAAATGCTGGTGCTCTTGAACCCATCATTGGCTTTCTTCAATCAGAGAATGCAACTCTCCAGGATCATGCTACTGCTTCGTTGCTCACATTATCTGCTTCTCCTGCCACGAAACCCATTATCAGTGCTTCTGGTGTTTTCCCTCTACTTGTGGAAATCATTAGGCACGGCAGTTCGCAAGCTAAGGCTGATGCTGTGATGGCTCTTTCCAATCTGTCAACTTATCAAGATAATCTACTCTTAGTTCTGCGGGCACAACCAATTCCTTCTACAGTTTCTCTGCTTAAATCCTGTAAAAAGTCTTCAAAAACTACTGAAAGGTGCACCGCTCTGATAGAATCTTTGGTGTGTTATGAAGAGGGTAGGAATGCATTGATATCTGAAGATGGGGGAGTGCTTGCAGTGGTGGAAGTGCTTGAAAGTGGATCTCCTCAAAGCCGAGAACATGCTGTAGGAGCTCTCCTGACAATGTGTCAGAGTGATCGCTCTAAATACCGAGAACCAATTCTCAGAGAAGGTGTAATCCCTGGGCTCCTTGAGCTGACTGTTCAAGGAACAGCCAAGTCCCGGACAAAAGCACAAACACTTTTGAGGTTGCTGAGGGATGCTCCTTACCCGAGGTCTGAGCTTGAGCCTGACACATTGGAGAACATTGTCTCCAATCTTATATCTCAGATAGATTGCGAAGAGCAATCAGGAAAAGCAAAGGAGATGCTCGCTGAGATGGTACAAGTTAGCATGGAACAGAGTTTGAGACATTTACAGCAAAGGGCGCTGGTATGCACTCCAGCTGATCTGTCTGTTCCTAGTTGTGTCTCCAAAATAACTTCAAAATGATAGAATTTTATCTTTGTCTCTTCCCGTATCCCTTTTCCTCTCGGACCAAAGGCTTGTGTGAGATCGATTCTCTGTATTTGGAAACGCTGGATAGATACTGAAAATTGGCAGTCCGGGCCCTTAGATAGCTGCCAGGTGACTGTTTAGTACTCAATAACTTGGAAAATTATAAGGTCGTAGAAAGTATAGCTTATGAACTTGCTCTTTGTAACATAAATTGGTGTTTTGCAGTTTATACAGCTAGTGAAGGTTTCCTTCTTGAGCCATAGTTTCCATGATTGTAATTATGTGATAGAGCGACATGCTTGAAAACACTATCCTGTACAGGAAATTCCACTTGTTTACTAATCTATATGTCATTTCAGATGTAGTCTCTAGCTATATTCAGATTGATAAGCTTTCTAAGCAATAGGGCTCTAATGCTGCAATCAATCTTTACATAGGTGCAGGTTATTTGTTGGTAATTTTTGTTTATAATTCAAAACTCCATTGCTTTCTTGATTTCAACCTCCCTGTGTTTTCTTTTATTGGATAGTGACAGTGTGGACGGTAAGTATATTATAATTGAAGCTTGTTTGGCTCTGTGTCTGTATCTATTTGGAGTTGATTGGATCAGTCTTGCTTCTGTCAGTGTACAAATAAAATATTTTACAGGTTATTCACACGGCTCCTTTACAACCAAGTATGATTTGATGAGTATTAGATAACTATATTCTACCAAACACCAACTTTTATTAACTACTTTGTGTAGTGGAGATGAGGTAGTTGGTTGGGGCTTTGATGGAACAACAGTCCAAAAGTTTGATTTCTAAAACAAAGCCTGCCTCAGATATCTATGAAAATTTAGGGATTAAATTCGGCTTATATTTGCAGATTGAAGAATTTTGCAGGCACTAGGTAGGTTTTTTTTTTTTTCCTTTGCATAATTAACAAGTGAACATGACAAGCTCAGTTAGGTAGCAATGGCCTATTTGTGATACTAGGCTATGAATTATGAGTCATGACCTCTTACCCATTGGACTCCTTTGGCCGGTCTTCGGTTCGTGTTAAGTATAGAGTCTTTGATAGGAAGCGATTTACTCCTAAAGTGAGACTTTTCAGTAAAATGTGGATTACTCGGGTCCCAAAGTAGGTACTGGTCACTGGCCGCCCCCCTCCCCCAAAAAAAAGTATGTGCAAAATTCAAAAATTGGCTGATTGATCGAAACTAAGTGCATTCGCTCGCCAAAAAGCATATAAAATATGTATATTATACATATGTAATACACATATATACAAAAATCATATATTTTATCGACTACTTATTTTTAGAGCAGCTAAAAATCTACCTTTTTCAAAAAATTTATTGGACTCCTTTGTGAGAAGCACTAAGCAAACTTTATTCACATAGAAGGATAACCTTTTGACATAATAGAGACGTTGTGAGTGTGTGGTGGATTTCCTTTTTTCGCCACCATTTGTAGTGAAGCGGTGTTTAGAAAAAGCAGGGCATGTGTTATCAGTGACTGGAAACGTGTCAAATAATAGGTAAGGCATGACATATCTTTTGCTTCCTTTGCCTTGAAATCCAATTACCAGACAAAATTGCTCACACTTGTGCACATGAATAATATTTCTTTTTTTGCCGTTTGTTTGCAATCAGACTAGATTTCACTATCACAGTCACACAAGTAGACACAGAAGAATGCAGCAACGTTGTAGCGTTGAGAGCCTCGGTAAGTATCTTCGGATGCAGCCAAAACCCACTCTTAACGTGTAAAAGAGTCATGTAAACATCACGTTTTTGACAAATACAATAAGAAAACAAATATCCTAATTTAGAGAAGCCTTCTCCAAACTTGTGGCTTTTCTGAGGAAAGCTAAACGCTGCGATTTGAGATTAAGCATACATTTGTACATATAAATATAGGATGCGTAGCTATTCATGTCGATTATTGCCTCAAGTGTCATGAACCAATTGTATTTCTACACATTTTGTTCTTGCAAAAAAGGTCCAGCAAGTGAATTAGAATAAACACCTATTACTCCAATCCTTACAACCTAATACTTGCGGAAAATGTTAAAAGTCGGATCATATTTCCTGCATTGTGCAGGAAGAAAGGGAGACAATTTATTAGCCACGTGAAGGTGAGACTGTCGGAGCTTATACAATGTTGTAGTGAGACTGTTATTACAAGATCATTTTTTTCTTCGGGTTACTATGTTTAGGTTGAATGCATTCTTGCTTATTTCCTATGCTAGGCTTTCATTGTAGTACTTAGGGATGACCCTCTGACTCTTGTAAATCTACGAGCTTATTACATCGTATATCCGACGGAATTTTTGATGCTCTTACTCGCCTATATTTATCCTTAGTGACTTATCTCCGCGCCACTGTGCTCGTAGGGTTACTTTTGAACTAAAATTTTGATTGTCTTCCATGTGGAACTCTCTTTTATTTTCGTAACACTTATACGGTACCTTTAACTACTCCAACTCCTATCTTAATGTTTCTCAAGGATTATGATGTCATCTTACTGCAAGACTAAATTCCCTATGTTGGGTTTCACTACGTTAACCTTGCATGATCTGTTGATTTATTTGTATCCCCTTGTCTAGCCATAACTAGACTCGTCCTGCATCAACTATGAACTACTCGTTGGTCCGTTCTCATATTTGTATTCTGCTTAATCTCTCTTGGTTATTTCCTTTTGTCTTAACTTACCTCTCGCACTGACTCCTTATGTATCAAGTGTTCATTTGCACTTATTTATCAATAATATCCTAGGCAGGAGCTTACTTCCTATCCCCAACGTCGTGCTTGCATAATCTTCTGGAGTCATAACATATTTGTAGGATTTGAATAAATGCAATCTCATTCCTTTCACCTTTTTATCGCATTCTTCCTTTACTATTCCATGGTTACCTCTTCATATTTGACTTCTTTTCACATCTTTTCAAATCTTACTCACCTTGCGGTAATCCTTATGTACGAAGGATAACTAAATTTCTTACGCATGAGGGTGACACCTAGTGTAACTGGTACACGTAACCCCTTAAGCTTAACTCTGCTCATAGTGCTTGCCTTAGGGAAGTGTCTTCCTGAATGACCTTTAAAGGTTACTATCTGTTGTCCATTCTATTATTTCTAGAACACGATCTTTGAAATTCTCATGATGTCGACTATTATTAAACCCTCCGGTCCTTAATTTTATCTCGTTTACTAGCCCATACTAATTTTTATTACTCCAAGGATCTAACTTAGCTTTCTAGTAAATACGTTGGAATCACCAACTCATTTCTTGAAATGAGGATATAACTTTATGGCTTATACTCTTATATAGTCTCAAGGCCTGTCCCTTTTGTCTTTTCCTTCACTTGACTATGGACTCTGTCATCTTGTCATATTTGATTTACCGTTATCACTCATTTATCATATCTTACTTATAATTCTTCATTTACTCTCTTCTTATTCTCCTGCTAATATCTCTGTCTATTACCTTATTCTGAAAACTCAACAAAACATTCTTTTACTTTTAGCTCCCCTTGCTCCATCTCACTGGCTCTTTGGATCGCCTAACATTCTCTTTTTACCAGGGGCGGGAGTCATACTAAGGTAAATATCCATCCCTTCTAGGAGTCGAGTGCCTATATGTTGAAATTTTTAGAACATCATAGTATTCATATCTGACTGTACTATTCTAGAGTGCACCATCTGGGTGTCTCACAAGGAGAACTATTATCACGTTTGCAATATCCTTCGGAAATGTCAGCTAACGCTAACAATCCATCCACCATTTTGGGTTACTTTAACCCCAGCTGGATTCTGATATCCCAACCTTCTCTTAAACTATATCTGTTAGCTCCCATAGGGCATAATTGAGATGAGTGTTACCAATTTTACATACCGCTATTACTGTTGAAGGTAACTCAGAATGATTATATTTCTCTACCTGAATTGTAAATACTGATAATCTTCACTAACTGGGTACCTCATACCCTCCTACACCTTGTTTTTGTCACCTGTTGAAACTTATACTGTTACCTTCTGATACTCCCATGGCCTACAATTTGCGGGGTGCATTAGATATTCCCATCCTAAGGTCTTAAGCAGGAAAATTTGCATATCAGGTATGCATGATCTGATAGAGCCTCAAACTGGGCCATGTCGTCAAGAACTCTCCCTCTACTAGTGCCCTTACTTGTTGTATTAGCCCTCTGGGTAGCTGTAATCTTTCTAATTAAAAATATCTCTATATCATTAGCAAACATAAGTTCTGACTCAAACTCTTATGACTCAGCTCAAAAGCATGATTTAGATTTGAAAGAAGGGTAACAAACTCCTAAATGCCTTGTAGCTTACTTTTTATATAATGTGGTGCACAACACATCTATAAACAAGGCTCTACTAGACAGGGCATGTAGACTCCTGATGTTCTAAACGTCAATACCACACAAGAGGAGGGGGGATGATTTGTGTGGTACCCAATTTTCGCTCTAGAAGAACCTGGTTCTTCTAGGTGTACTGACTACTACTGTTTGCGGAATAATAAGTGCATAAAATAAAGAACACAGAGATTTTTACGTGGAAAACACTTGGCTCAAAAGGTGAAAAAACCACGACCTACTACTCAATAGGATTTTCCCAAACTTCCACTAAAATCACTGAGCCAAAACAGCATTTACAAAACTCTTTATAAACCTAAGGATTAACTCTAATCCCGTTGTGGTACACAACCTTAACTGTTGCGACAACTTCAAGTTAGCTTATAACTTGAACACTCTAGGTACCTCATACAGTTGCTTCTATGAAAGCTGAAAGGTACAAGTTTAAACCACCTACTACAATTGAACTAGAATAAAAAGAATACACAATGGAACTGATTCTTCTACCTTGTTCAAGTAGCTTCAGGAGTGCACACTCAAATCTCACATAAATTGCTTGCAAAATCGCCTTGCTCTTTTGCTCTCAATTTAGTTTAACTTCTGCGTATGTGCAATACCTGTAAAAGAGAACAATCACTGTCTTTTAATGGGTTAGTAATCAGAGTTTGATTGGGACTCAATTGCTGATCTTCTATCGTAGTTGAGTCCTTGAAGATCTCAAACTCCAACACTATCTTTATCCGGATTTTGTTCTCTTCATATAAGGAGACTTTCTCCCCTTATCCAATATGCAACCTTTTCGATCAGATCAGGAGATATTGCTGCTTGATCAGTAGGACTTATCTCCTTCACGTGCATCTCACATGTATAGGTTGAGCATGACTATGGTTCACAAGATGGACCTGGTCCATGACTGAGTTCATTTGTCATTCTTCAAAACTTCACCTGTTCTTGGGCCAACAAATTTTCCCTTTTTGATGATGACAAACTCTGTGTGTTTTACTG